GGGGGTGGGGCAGGATTGCAGGGTATACCCTTTGGTTGGTTGATGATGCATAGACGGTATTGTAACTATGGCAATGAAACGATATATGATAGAATGAATGTAAAACTAATGTTCTCCCATGTAAACTATCACATCATTCACAATAAAACATTTATTAAAAAAAATTGTGTGGGAGACTCAAAGTTGTATTCAATTATAATTCCACAGAGAAACAAATATAAATAATATAAAGTATTAATATAATATTTGCATTCTTTTTTTTCATACTAAATAGCTAAAGCCAATTACTCATTTCACACTAAAAGTACATATCATCTTGGACTAACCATGTTTTAAGTCCTTATAAGTCTCATGGGGCAAGTTGCTACCATATTAGTCAAGACAAGCTATATGTCACTAAATTTGTGGGTGAATTTTGGTGGGCAAATATCAATAGTCCATGCGTGTACATTTTTAAGACAATTGACTAATTAGATTACTTTTGAATTCTCTACAAAATCTGACTCAAGTAAGAGATTTATTTATTTAATTTTTCTTTGGCTAAGTTTTACAGATGGGTGAAGAAATTATACCAATATGTAAATTATGAAGGGCTTCAAAAAGTTAGTGGAGAAATTCCATTATCTTTCATTTCCATTTTCCCATGAACTTTCTGGAGCTTCCTTATGAAGTATAACAACAATTGTGAGGAAGACACAGGACTGGATAGTGTTTTGTTTTGTTACACATAGGACCGCTTAAATTGGAGTCAACTTGATGTCACCTAACAACATATCATTTTGTCTTATATTTATGAGAAACATATGTGAAATATTCATTTTATACTCATTATAGTCTGGCTCTTTTAAATTGAATAAGAAGGGTCTAAAATTAAAACTCTAAAAACAAAGGTTACTACAAATGAAGATTTCAGCAGTACTAACATCTTCATTGAATCACAATGATATAGGCAGAATAGACTTACAGTCAGTCATGTCTGGGTTTTGTCACAGTGTTATTCATGCTTTCATTCTCTTTATGGAAGTATATAGGTAAAATTATACAGTTAGCAATTCCAAAATACAAGACAATATTTAAAAATGAATGTGATAATTTCAAGCATGCAAATGTGCTTCCCAGTTGTCACCACAGCACACTGTTCTGATACTGTTCTTAAGTGCTTATTATGGGTATTTACCTCCAGACATGGTCCTGGTGTAGATGGGGAGATCTTTGGCTGCTCGCCTGAGAACTTCCTGATGGGCTTCTCCTCTTGGCTCTCTCTCCAGCAGTTCTTTCTCTGCATAAGAAAGATGGAACTGTGGAATAAATTTAAATTTTAATAAGTATTTGCAAAGAAATGATCATAAACTGGTCAATTCTACTATATCTAGGAAGAGGTATTAAGGAAATATGAATAGTTTATTATATTGTATATTCAGAGAGCAGTGGAGTTTGAAATTTAGATGAATCTCTTAACCACATGGATCATAGTTTATGCCTCAAGAAAAAGAGAATAATCATCATACTCAAAATGATACCTATTTTTCCAGATGCTTCAGAAACTCCAAAGGAACAGAGCATATAACAGTGCTTTATAAACTTAAACTTTGATCCCAATATTATTTATGTTACTAGATAAAATTACCAAATAAACAAATCTCGATTTTCAGAGCTTTTCATTTGAATACCTTTAAGAATAAAACAGAAATGCAAGCGTTTCATGAATTTTAACTTAGTGGTAATAATTACATTACTTTTCTTTCAGTATTCAAATCACTAATTATTAATTTTCCTTCTTATACTTTCAATTTGACCAAAAATTAAAAAGAAAAACATTTATTTAAGAAAAAGATTTGTTTGGGTTCCAATTTGACAATCACAAAGATCAGTTTAGAAGTCTGTTTGAACTCCTTGAAATGTGTTCCATGTGACATATAAAAGGATATTCACAGAAAATTGTATAAAATACTAAAAATTAAAAAAAAAAACCATGCCCATTCAAAGGATAATGGATAAATGAGTGTATACTATATATCCAAATATTGGAATACTTTATGTTATTTGCCACCACTCATCTGTCAGTCTGTCGCACTGTGGTGACTTGTGTGTTGCTGTGATGCTGGAAGCTATGCCGCTGGTTTTTAAATGCCAGCAGGGTTACCCATGGTAGATAGATTTCAGCTGAGCTTCCAGACTAAGACTCTGAAGAAGAAGAGGCAGACATTTCCAAATGTTTATCCACTGAAAACTTTATGAATAGCATTGAAAATCTGCCAGATAGCATCAGAATATTAAATATTGAAACATGACGAAGAGCAGCAAAATATTGTCAGATATAGTGCTGGAAGATGAGCACCTCAGGTTTGAAGGTACTCAAAATACAACTGGGGAAGAGCTATCTCCTAAAAATAGAGTTGACCATAATGACATGAATGGAGTAAAGCCTTCGGGACCTTCATTTGCTGATGGGGTGCAACTCACTGAAAATGAGGACAAGCAGCTGTAACATCTATTAATAATCAGAACATGGAATGTACGAAGTATGAATCTAGGAAAATTGGAAGTTGTCAAAAATGAAATGGAACGCATAAACATCAAGATCCTAGGCATTAGTGAGCTGAAAAGGAGTGGTATGGACCATTTTGATCTGTAAATCACACAGTTTACTATGCCAGGAATGACAAATTGAGGAGGAATGGCATCTCATTCATCATCAAAAACAACATTTGAAGACCTATCTTTAAGTATAAAGCTATCTGTGATAAGATAATATTCATAAGTCTACAAGGAAGATCAGTTAATACAATTATGTTTCAAATTTACACACAAAGCACTAAAGTCAGTGACAATGAACTTGAAGAATTCTAGTTCAGTCTCAAATAGATCAAACATGTAATCAAGATGTGTTGATTATTACTGGTGATTGGAACGCAAAGGTCGGAAACAAAGAAGGATCAGTAGTTAGAAAATATGGCCTTGGTGACAGACGTTTGCAAGACCAAAGATTCCTTCAGTGTAAATAACTTTTTAAAAACCACATAAAAGATGATTCTACACACTTGTTGTTGTTAGGTGCCATTGAGTCGGTATTGGCCCATAGTCACCCTATGCACAACAAAGTGACACACTGCCTGGCTCTGCACCAACTTCTCAATTGTTGCTACATTTGAGCCCTTTGCTGCTGCTACTGTGCCAATTCATCTCAATGGGGTCTTCCTCTTTTTCTCTGACCCTCTACTTTAACAAACATGATATCCTTCTCCAAAATTTTACTTGCGTGTGATATTGATGATATTGTCCGATGATTTCAGCATTCTCTTGGGTCACCTCTCTTTGGAATGGGCACAAATTTCAGTCAGACGGCCAGGTAGTTGCCTTCCAAATTTCTTAGAATAGATGAGTGAGTGCTTCCAGTACTTCATCAGTTTGTTGAAAGATGTCAATTTGTATTCCATCAATTCCTGGAGGTTTGTTCTTTGCCAATGCCTTCAATGCACCTTGGACTTCTTCCTTCATTATCATTGTCTCTTCATCATATGCTATCTCTTGAAATGAGCATCAACAATTTCCTTTTGGTACAGTGACCCTGTGTTTTCCTTCTGTTTTCTTTTGATGCTTTCTCTGCATCATTCAATATTTTGAGGATAGAATCTTTCAATATTTCAAGTTGAGGCTTGAATATTTTCTTCAGTTCCCCCAGCACAAAATTTCTCAAGCAAAAAGAACTGAGAAAAATATTCAAATCTTGACCTGCAATACTTAAGGATTATTTGGGCAAAATATTGAATAATGTAGAAAGCATCAAAAGATGGAAGAAATACACAGAGTCACTGTACCAAAAAGAAATGGTTGCTGTTCAACCATTTCTAGAGGCAGCATATGATCAAGAGCCAATTGTACTGAAGAAGTCCAATGTGCACTTAAGGCTCCAGGTACTGATGGAATACAAATTCAAATCTTTCAATTTGTCCATAGTCTATTCAGATGTATTGTTTTTACCTATGTCTTTTTTCTGTTCCAGGATCTCATCCCAAGATAATGCATATTAATTCATCAATTTTCTTAGGCTCCTCTTAGCTGTAAGAAGACATTCCTTGTTTCTGATGATCTTAACAATTTTAAGGAGTACTGCTCAGGTGTTTTATAATAAAATTCCCTCCACTGTAATTTCTAGAATTTTTTTCCCTCATGATTAGACTGGGTTGTGGGTTTTTGAGAGAAAGTATAGAACCATTCTCATCACATCATACTATGGATGCATGCTGTTACCATTGCTTATCATTGTTGGTGCTAACTGATCAGCTGATTGAGGAAGTGCTTGTCAGATTTCCCCATGCAAAGTTTTTCTTTTTATCTCTTTTTCTATATTGTAGAAATACCATTCCTGTTGCTGTTGAGTCGGTTCCGACTCATAACAACCTATATAGGATTCATAACAACCGTATCTAGGACTTCAAGGAGCAGTAGGTGGGTCTGAACCACTGATCTTGTGGTTAGTAATCCAGTGCTTATCCTACAGTGCCACATCAGGATGGCAGTCCTAGAATCAACCACTTCTTCCAGGAGTCCTCCTCCTTTTATTGTAGGTTGGTATTAGAAATGAAGATCTAAACTCAAATATAATTTTTAAATTAAAGGAAAATACAATGTTAGAAGGATATACAAGCTAAGGAAAGCATGAAAATAAACCTATATTTCACAATATTTCTTTTTTTTATGGCTAGCTCTTTTTCACTGAGGAAAAAATAAATGTACTCTGATTAGTATCTGAAATATACAAATTGAAATATAGATCATTTTTCCTATTAAATTAATAATAAACAAGTTTTCTACACAACATGCAATTCCAAGGGTCTGATAAAATTGGTAATATCAGAAATTGCTACAATCCTTTTGGGAAATACATTGGCAAGTGACTTAAATTTTCTTGATCTAGTAATCCTACATCTGAGAATTTATATAAAAGAAATAATTGGAAATATGAGTAAACCTCCATGGACAGGCCTGTTAATGAGATCATTTTTAATAGTATGAAAAGTTGGGATAAGACTAAAGATCCAAGTTGGGATTTGAGTAAGTAAATTTTTACATATCTCAGTGAGAATATTATGCTGTTATTAAAAATGACAGCAAACCACTAATGGGCTATTACGTGAACAAATATTGAAAACATGAACACTCTAAATACAACTAGGAGAAACAACAGGAAAGAAATTCCCATATGTAAACTGGCTGAATTAGCATGTAAACTGGCTGAACAGGATTCCTTTTTTTTTTTTTTTTCTCTTCTTTATTACCTAGACCACTTTCAAAATAGAATTTGTTGTTGTTGTTAAGTGCCGTCAGTTCAGACCCATAGCGACCCTGTATAGGATTTCCTATGAGCAGCTGGTGAGCTTGAACCACCAACCTTGCAGTTCAAATGGCTTTGCAGTCTGGCGCATTAATCCACAGCACCACACCAGGACTCCAGAATAGAATTTAGTATGGTTATATTACTTTAGAGTGGAAGAAAAATCACATGAATTGAAAAACTACTATCAACTTAACAATTTTGCAATGAAAAGGGCAAAATTTCATATTTTTCATATTCCCTCAATGCTGGTAGTGGTGGGTATGTGCTGTGGAGTCTGTTCCGACACATAGCGACCCTGCACAGGGTTTCTGAGGCTGTAAATCTTACAGGAGCAGAAGGTCTCATCTTTCTCACACGGAACGGCTGTTAGTTTCAAACTGCTGACCTTGAAGTTAGAAGAAGCCCAGCTTGTAACCATTATGCTACCAAAGCTCCTTAATAGTGAATAACAATATACTCTCCCACTTTGTAAGCTTCAATTTTCCAAGTATTTTTAGCACTGAAGAGCATGTTGTCAATTTAAATACAAGGTCCTCATTACGTCTGAAAGATCTATGATCTCTAATCAATTAGAAGATTAGCTCAAGTATTTGCATTTCATTAATGGAACAACTTAAGATTTTTAGCTACCATGCAAGGACATTTTTCTCTTTAAGAGTGGCTTCTAAACTCTTTTGAACATATATCCCTATCAGTAAAAAAACATTGACCTAACATTGACCTGTGGATGGGTCCCTTGTGATACAATAGTGAATAATTGTTATCAGGACTGCTTGTGAGGGTTGGAAATGTACAGGTAGACGTTTTGTAGCAAGGAGGGGAGTGATTAACTTTTCAGTCTAGTAACGGAGGTCCCTGGGATCATCAAGGGAGAAGAGTGGAGAGCGGGGCCCTACGCAGAGAAGCAGTGATGCCTGAGATGGAGGCAGAGACGATGACATGGAGAGATGGAGCAGTTGG